TCCCCAAAGAGCAATCTTTACAAAAATTTGGCACTGACTTTCACGAAACAAACATTTGCTACCATTTATGGTCCAGATAATGCCTGTTGTATTTCAGAAAGGCCAGACACCCTAGACTTGTAGGTGCCACAAAGATCACTGGGCTCAGAGATCCACTCACAGCCCTACATGAAGCCCAGAAGGTCACAGATGTATATCACTATCAGGTAATGTTTTAAGGTCAAGCTCCAGACCAACAATCAACAAGAGAGGCAGGTGAGGAAATGCTGTTCAATCCCTATATTTACATTTTTACTATAGAACAATTGTTTAATTTAATTTATTTTTTCTTCAATTATTTATTTATTTACTGCGTTTTGTATATGGGTCGTCCTTTAAACAACATTTGCGGCACAGTTCTATTTGAATAAAATTGGTGCCAATAATTAACCATAGTCATTTGAGTGTTTGACGCAGGGACATTCTCCATGTTATCCGAAGCGAAGCGACAAGACTCTCATTAAACAAGGTTAATCTATGACGTCATAAGTAAACCAAGTGTTACGTACGTCACAAGAGTTTTTTGCTTTCATACTCAAATGAAATGCATTCTGCTGGTATTGTTCATACAGTGGGTTGCAGCGCAAATGTAAATATAAGTTTATATTATATAAAGCAGCACTGCTTTATATCTTCCAAATATACAAACTACCAAAATGTTTGCCATAAATGACTTGGACAGAAAAACAATGAAAACCCCAAAAATTATGTTCCCCCCCCCCCATCTAAAATTTGAGGCCTATGAATGTAGAATTTTAAAGCCATTTCCTTGACAACTTAATCACCATCTCAAAATGTTTTCCAGTTGATTTAAAGCTAAAAATGCACTGATGAGTGAAAGGCCTCAAGCTATGGGTTCAATCAATACTGACACTAAATGACAGAAATCTGCTGTATTACTACATGCTCCACGTCCATCAAATTTATAAGTCTGTATAGCGATTCCCTAAGAGACCTTCAGACTGCCAACTCTATGATTCAAGGACTGTACCCATCCACTTAACATGACAATTTCCTCATTATTTCTCCAATTTATACCGTTCATTTGTTTTTTTGTCTTGTTATTTCTTTAGTCATACATTCACTATTAATGATATGCTCTAAGCTGCAAAAGTTTAGAGAAAAAAGCTTCGCCTCTGTTCGACCCATTAATGCTTATAAATCGATGATGTGCCGTAAGCATTGGGTCACCAATTATTTTTCATTATGATTGATTACTGTACAGCTGTTATGTTTTGCGGGTTTTTTATTTTCGCTATATTTGTGCTTTGACTAATATTCGCAAATTCTAAACACCAGCGAAATTGTTGAAAATGTTTACCACTTTTATGGACCTTATCACAACATGTTGAAAATTCTTATACCCAACGCTGTTATGCAAGCTTAAATGAACTCAAATCAGATTATCACCGGACAACTGGGCAGTCCATGTAAAAACAACACTTACATATAAGTGGCCCCATCAGGAGTTGATTAATTGATAACAGTTTACTCCTACAAACTACATACTCATTTGATTTTTTTTTCGAGTGAAGTCACAGGCGGATGACGACACTCAGGATCAGTGTTTTCAAACAGTTTACCTGTATTTCGAGGTTTAACCCTTAAATAATGACACTCAAAAAACCTTATACGACACATGGGATTCGGGTGCACAGAAAAATTTAACCCCAGTGTATATGTGTGCTGAATACGAAACTGCAAAATATTGACCCCACGAATTTAAAGCGCTATACACTACTTATCTGTGACCAAAACATTTCACATGCCATTGTACTTTTCGCTACAACAGCCCAACATACTACCTTTGTTTACATCTTCAATTCAAATGTTTTTGTTGACCTTTTAATTCTTAAAAACTGTTAACCTTATCCCTTGTACTCAATGAATATAAAAGTCCTAACAACCACTTTTGAAAAAGATTTAACAGGTCACTCAAAATTTTCAGTGTGGGTATAACCCTTTTTCAAAGAAGGTATTTGTGGTAATAAGGTAGCATACATCCTAAAATTCTCAAACGGATTCAGTGGGGAAAACATTTTCTCAAAAATAATAAAAAAAAATATCCAAAAAACATCAGTTATAACTTTATGATATTAATATGAAAATATTTTTCAAAATTTTGTTCACGTAATTTACCGTTTGTGTTAGATTAGTACCTAAAACAGAGCTTTAACTTTTCAACTTTTTAATGAGTATGAGTCGCAATGTTCCCCACTGTACCAATTCTTACAGGTAGTATCTGGTTTGGTGTAGTTTTCTCTGTAAAGTCTAACATGCTTCTAAGATACAACATCTATCACCAGACAAAAAAGAAACACTTTCCCCAAAAGCAGCCTTCTCATGTATATTGTGCTGGCATCCCCAAACCTAATTTCCGTTTTGCCTTTGCTCTCCCAGAGACTACAGTCGCCACCACTTTCTACACATATTCCCTGTGGTGTTGGAATAACAATTTACATATATATATAGGAATAATGTATTACACTGTAGCCGAGACTGTTCCACTACAGTCAAACCCTTTGTGTAGACATCTGTAGCCAACATTTGCTGACTATGGTTTTTAATGTGGAAACCCATTTACAGTAATATAATTTTAGCCCCCAATTAAATTTTAAAAACAATTATTTTGTTCGGAAGTATAAATATTTTTTAAGATGAATGAGGTTAGTTTTTTTTTTTCTCTCTGGACAGACAGGCATTTGTACCCAGAGGATAGAGACAGAGCAGATATTTTATTTATCCGAGAAAACATTGCTGTTTCTGTAACTAGAAATGAGGTAAAAAAAGGGAGACAATTAGGCCAGGAGAAATCAAATTAATGAAGCACATCTGAAATAGATTGATTTTTTTATTCAACAACAGCATCTGAGAAATGTCACAAATACTCTGGATAGCATTCTAGGGAGAAGACAAAAAAACAGAGAAAAGAATTAAAATTGATGTTTCTAGAATGTCGAGGTTTTACGTAGGCCGTCTAGTTCACACTTCGCAGTCGCTTTGTGTATCATTATCGGAGTAAGTAATCTAAAAATATGTGGAAATTTAAACAAATCTCTTTTCAGGACATCCTTTAATGGGTTAATGGACAATTTCTCTTTGGGAAAGAAAATGTAGCGACAACACCGAACGTGATTACAGATTGGCTGCGAGTGGAGATTACTCGTGGTAATTCCATCACACGGAGAACCAGATCACAGCACCTCTTCTCCTCACGTAGCTACCAACACTTGCCTTCCTCAAGGTGACAGAGTACAGCGGGGCGGAATAATATACGCCCGTCTAATGCCATATAGTGTGTACTTTCTTACATTGAAATAAGATCTGCATCATTCTAAGAGTGGTTAGCGGACATGCTATAAAAAATGCTGGAGAAAATCTCCATTAATGAAAACAAATTCAACAGTAAATCCACAATGGAAACTAATGCTTGCATGTCCTTTTGATATTCGGTGCGTTGAAATGAACAAAGGGCAATAACTTTTGCAACAATTGTCGAATCAAAATTCTTTTAAGGGAGACACAACAACATAACATGATTATTTAGCCTATTAAGTTTCAATGAAATCTGTCAAAAAATGTAGGAGGAGATCTCCAGACAAAAAATCAAATACTGAAATGAACAAAGGGCAATAACTTTTGGAAAAATTGTTGAATAAAAATTCTTTTAATGGAGACACAACTTCATGTCATGATTGTAATGTATACCAAGTTTCAAAGAGATCAGTCGAAAAATGTAGGAGGAGATTGCCGGACAAACAAAAGACGGATGGACAACTCCATACCATAATACTTCTGTCAAATTTATGCAAAAAAGTACTGTATAATACTGAAATTTTCAATACTGTTTAGACTTTTCCCACTTTTTCGTCCTTTGTAATGAGGGAAAATGTATTATTACAGAGAACTTTAGAAAGAAATATAATAAACATAGTAATCAGATGTGATGGGCAAAATACAAATATGGATTTTACTGGCATAGGGCGACACTTGGTAAGCAACATTTGGCTTTGTTTGTGCTCATAAAAACTAACAGAGAAACATACTTGTGATAAATTCTTCACGCCTTGTGACAATTCAGCACCTGGCCTATAATGATGCACAAACAAACATACAACCATCATGAACAAGACAAACACTTGTATTGTACAATGAATACTCTGTGATGAACTCAACTGTATGAGTTGAATAGACAAACACTAGGACAAGTACTGTATACCATGTGACAGACTCACCTGTACAAGTGGACACGACATATACTCTGTGACAGACTCACCTGTACAAGTGGACACGACATATTCTCTGTGACAGACTCACCTGTACAAGTGGACACGACATAAACTCTGCGACAGCCTCACCTGTACAAGTGGACACGACATATACTCTGCGACAGACTCACCTGTACAAGTGGACACGACATATTCTCTGTGACAGACTCACCTGTACAAGTGGACACAACATAAACTCTGTGACAGACTAACCTGTACAAGTGGACACAACATAATTTCTGAGACAGACTCACCTGTACAAGTGGACACAACATAAACTCTGAGACAGACTCACCTGTACAAGTGGACACAACATAAACTCTGTGACAGACTCACCTGTACAAGTGGACACGACATATATTCTGTGACAGACTCACCTGTACAAGTGGACACAACATATACTCTGTGACAGACTCACCTGTACAAGTGGACACAACATAAACTCTGAGACAGACTCACCTAGGCCTGTACAAGTGGACACAACATAAACTCTGCGACAGACTCACCTGTACAAGTACTAGTGGACACAACATATACTCTGTGACAGACTCACCTGTACAAGTGGACAAAACATATACTCTGTGACAGACTCACCTGTACTAGTGGACACAACATATACTCTGTGACAGACTCACCTGTAAGAGTTAACAAGACAAACACTAGGACCAGTTAATTACTCTGTGACAGACTCACCTGTACGAGTTAACAAGACAAACACTAGGACCAGGTATACCCTGTGATAGAGTCTGCCCATGATGTGCTTATCCTCATTGCTATGTCTTCCTCCCTACATCTTTCTTCCTCTCTGTTCATCGCACTTGGAACTATCTGCAATTTGGAACAATATGACATCAGGAACATGTAGGAGAATTGATATGCTGTGCTGATATCACAGTTTCATTGCAATTATGCATATATACAGTTGTGGGACCGCACAACGCACCAAAAATAGCGTGCGCACACCGGGCATACATCGTTCACACACCGTCCGCACATCGTCCACACATGGTGCGCACAACTGTGCGATTTAGCAATCATTCGCCCCGCTGTGCACTTCTCTCCGCACAACTGTGCGATTTGATATCATTTGTAGATCAAAATTACGAAATGACAAAAATACGGAAGGCTTGTATGCAATAATGTACACTGTGTATATATTTGTAATTTCTCATGACAATAATCAAGATTATACAATTTCACAATGCATGTTACACAGTATTACAGCGACCGTTAGGCTGTCAAGAATTGGTTTGGCTTTTTATCGTTCGCCCATCGTGCACACACCGTTCACACACCGTGCGCACACCGCACATCGTGTAACGCTGTGCGATCCCACAACTGTAATCAGTTGATTAAATAATAATAAAGCTCAATAGAAATGTTTTCTACAAGTTTATGTTGTAAAGCTGTCATTAGTCATCAAAGTACTGCAAAGGAATACACACCTACTGTTATTATAAAAGGCAGAAATTTTGGGGATACAGTTTCACTTATTTTCTGGATTGAGAAAAATCTCAGAAAAATAATCCTTGCAAAATGTAAGTTACAAAAGCAGCTAATAAGGTGATTGTCAGTATCTAATATTGACGTTGAACAAGTCTGCTTCAAATAGCAGTCTTGGTCAAGATCAGTCGTACATTAGCATTCAATTGAAAAGAAAATGTGTGTGCCAGGCTATAATTTACCAGTAGCCAATTACGTCTGGTTTACAATATTACCAATTTTAACAAGATGTTGCAGAATAATACAATATCAGCTTAAAATAGCATGTTATTCAACAAACAATCTTGTTAAGTCAGCATACAACACTTTATATCAAGATGCTCAATTGTTTTCTGCAATTTAACTGAGCTAATACAGTGAACATCACTTTTATGATTAGATTTTATTAACTAAATTGATGACACCTCTACATGGCAGGTATAAAAAACTTACGACAGCTTTGAAAGATACACTAGAACTGATGACACTTTGGAAGGTACACAAGAACAGATGACACATTTAGAAGGTACAAAAACTGATGACAGCTCTGGAAGATACAATAGAACTGACGACACATTGGAAGGTAAACAAGAACAGGTGACACTTTTAGAAGGTACTCATGAATGTATGCATATGAATAACACTCAGGCAACAGGCAATTTTGAAATATCATAATTACCTGGTAAAACTGGCATATTAAAGGGAGACAACTGTTAGTGTACAACAACCGATCAACATGCAAATTATAAACACAAAGTAAAGTTAACTTTAGAGCTGTTGAATTTCATGGAGTTACTTCCCTTGTCAAGGTAATCATCTCTCATTTTTATGCTGTGCAGTTACAACATTTATAGCTCCTTGACCCCTGTAAGTTTTGTTTCTTTTTGATTTTCGTTTTCAAACACTTAAGTTTCTAATCAATATTATTTTGCAAAATGCATTGCGAGATGTGATTTATATAGTTTTCTTCTAAATAAACTTTCCAGGTCTTAGTGTGGATAGTATTATATTTTAACCTGATGAAACCATTTACCTGAATACAACATACTACTGACGTATACATTATATATCAATACACTCCAAATCACAGTGGAATACCGGTATATCAAGATTTAATCCTAAGTACCTATGTATCCTGGTTTTTCTTTATTTTTATGAAACTTTGGCTACGGTATTAAAAATAAACAAAGGGCCATAACTGTATATAGTGGGGCACAAAACCTGATTTTAGCGCGAGCGATTCCGCCTTCCCAATATACGTAAATATGATAAGTATGGTCAACGTAGGTGAAATAACATGGAACTTATGCTCCGGACAAACTTCCGCATTAAAACTAAACAAAGGGCCATAACTATATAGTGAAGCATGAAATCTAATTCCAGTGCACTGCACACCCTTCTGTGAGTGATGCAGATATGCTTCAAGCTTGATCAAGATATCTTTAACGGTTTGAAATTTACGGGATGGACAAGAATTTACTGCAAATTTGCACTTATTTAACCTTTGACCGTGAGGTGAAGGTCACAGTGACCTAATTCCAGTGCACTGCACACCTCCTGTGGGTGATGCATGCATACCTAAAGTTTCATCAAGATATCTTTAACAGTTTAAAACGTATGGCCCTGACAAGTTCGATTAGAAGAAGCAGAAGAATCAAATAATCGAGCATTTTTTTCCCCGACTAGAAATTGGTGTCAAAGCAGCAACATTTTTCACAAGATTTCATTCAAAATACAAAATAAACTACAATTTTAGGTAATAATTGGATTCAAGGGACCTCAAGACTGGCTAATAGTATTTTAACTGTTCTGATTTCCTGTTTTACAATTGAATTCAGAAAATGACGAACAATGAAAATACAATTTACCTTTACAAACATTACGTCTCTTTCTCACAACCCCACCCAGGCATGACACACTGCTTTTTTCTCCCTGGAGATCCATTCCCAATACTGTCACATATAAAGGTATTCTACAAAGACATATTAAGTTCTAAATTCCTAACACCCACAGTATCTGTAAAGAGCACAGTGTCATGGAAACCAGTAAACACAAACCTTGGGAACAATATAACACATTTTTGTGAGTGCTTCATGATTAACTGTCACAAAGAGATATAGACAGAGACTTGAATCATTGCCTATCTCAGATCTACAGGCACACACTTCATGCCTAGTCAAACCATCAGATTTATGGACTACAGACCAGTCAGACGTCTAGTAGTTTTCCTCTCAATTTTAACTCAACTACAGAAGATAACAATTGGATCCAGGATATCATGTTAGGGGCAGTACAAAATTAGTTTATAAGAAATTTTTGTCATCATCATCACCATCTTGAATATATTTCTGGGTTATACTAAAGAACTTGTTTATAGGGTTTAACATATCATTCACTGTAACAAGTTAAAAGTGGTCAAGGTTCTTCTTCTGAACAAACAGCATGTTACTGGCCAAATATGACCCGTATGGAACTTGGTTACACAAAAAGTTTTAATACCTTTGACCCCTCTGACATGGAAAGTGAATCAAGACCATATATTTTGACAAACGTGGTAGCACTTCATCCAAGCATGCTACAGGCCAAAATATTGTTATGACTTTCTGATTATCGAGGATCTAAGAGAAGAAGCTTGTTAATGTTTCAACACCTTTGAACCCTTTGACCATCAAAGTTGGTCAAGGTCATCCATTTGAACAAATTGTATAGCTCTTCATCTCAGCATGCTTCAAATTCTGGCCAAATATGATGATTCCTGCCTTGGCCTATTGGTTATTCAGAAGAATTTTTTTTAGAGAAAAGTTGATGCAAGAATTTTCTGAAAGATAGCAGATGGACAGTTGCCATACCAATGCATCAGTTCACTTGGCCCAAATCCTGTCAGTGAGCCAGGCAAGCTAAAAATTGCATATAAGATTAAGTTACAATAACAAGAGATCCCAGAGGGATCTTGGCGCCCACCATTGTACCACCTTCATTAGTTCTTTAATTGTCAGTTCGATCTTTTCTCTTCTTTTCTCTAATCTGTTTGATCGAGTAAATTCACCTTGTGGTAACTTTTGATCTAAACTTAATACTGCTGTGCATAAAAGACAACCTTCAAAGTGAGTTTGTCATTTCACATATTGAATAGTACAGTACTTAATGTGAAAGAAATAGAACCGATCATTGCAATATAAGAAAGATCTGTTTAGTTCCCTTCAGGCATTTTGTTTTTATGACCAGTCTCAAAATATATCATGCAAAACGAGGGATCAAGGGGAACCTACATATCAAATTTGAGAAAGATCCCTCAAGTTATTCCTGAGAAATAGCACTAAATGTCAAAAATCGAAGATTGCTGCAGGTCAGCCATTTTGTTTTTCTGATCAGTTTCAAAAGTAAACATGATCATGAACAGTAAAGGACAGTTGGGAACCTCATGCATATAAAATTTGAGAAAGAACACTCCAGTACTTCCTGGGAAATAGCACTAACAAACCTTAACCGACAAAATCAAAGATTTGTTTATCTGATCAGTCTCATAAGAAAACATGCACAACTACATACCAAAGGGTACCTACATGTCAAATTTGAGAAAGATCTCTCCAGCACTTATTGAGAAATGCTGATAACAAACATTCCCTGTCAAAATCCAAGATGGCTACCTGTCTGCCAATTTGTTTACCTGATCAGTCTCAAAAGTAAACCTGCACAACCAGGGATCAAGGGGAACCTGCATATAAAACTTGAGAAAGATCCCTCCAGTACTTCCTGAGAAATAGCGATAACAAACCTTGACTGTAAATATCCAAGATGGCTGCCTATCGGCCATTTTGTTTATCTGATCGTTCTCAAAAGTCAAAATGCACAATAACGGGACCAAGGGGAACCTGCATATAAAATTTGAGAAAGATTTTTTTGGTGATATCCATAACAAGAATTGTTTAAGGATGGATGACGGACCACGGACGCAGGGCGATTTGAACAGCTAAAAAATTACCCGCATTTATATATAAGTTGTAAAACTGTATTTTAGTTTTATACACAAAAAAAGAATGATACATGTAGTGATTTCATTGCAGAAACATCAGACATATATTCACATATATAGTGTAGCGTCATTTTACAACTAACAGGTAATATCAAAGATCTTTGATAATTTATCTTTAATTCCAGTAACATGTTACAATTCTAAGCAGGAGTGCCATTAAATTTACAAATAAACAAGAGGCCCAGAAGGCCTGTATTGCTCACGTGGATATCTTAAAGCAATCATGGCAAAATATTCTTCAAGGCGTGACTCAGAAAATAGGTCCCTAAGGTTACGGCCAGACCCCAGGATCAATAATATCATGACTGCATTC